ATGGAAGGGGGGGTTTTTGTGCTACGACAGGTCGACATCATTGTGATTTAACATGGCATTTTTGAAGCATTTGGTCATGCGAAATTGGGGGATTTGCCCATCGTAGGGTAGATGTAATTGTTGTGTCGGTGTGGAGTACGTACCTGCGGGATTCGCGTTAGGCTTCCGCGGCGTTCCATGTTTAGGTGGATTTTGCGTTATGTTGACGATATTGGAAGGGGGAGCGCGAAACAAGAAAAATTGTTCTGGGAAATGGTTTTTTTATGATGCTCTGCTCGTATAATGCTCGCCAGCAGTGGCAGCTATTCGTAACCTGACGAATTTTGGAAGTTGGTAAGAGATGTCCGGCATGGAGTAATACACTGCGATCTTCAATCAGCAATGGCATTGTCCTGAATAGTCACAGGTAACACAAAACTAGACTCGCATCAATTGGATACTCCACCACTTTATCTCCTCAACTCCCCATGCTCCGCCTCGGCCCCATCTTTGTCATACACATCCACCCCCACCATATCCTCATCACTCTTCATCATCTCTCCAACCGAAAGCACCTGCTTCCTCTTCTCACTCATCTTATACAAATACTGCATAATCAGGAACGTAGCCCAGCACCCAACAATAAAGCAAATATTAACCGCATACCCCTTCGTCCATCTCGGGCCTTCAACAATCGGAAATACCGTAATGGGATAAAATGAAAACACCGCCCATCCGGCCGTCAGCATCGCACCTACGGTCACCGCACGTGCCTCAGCATCATCGCGCAGTGCCATGTTGATGAAAGGCATGAGTATAGGCGTTATTGCTGCTGATACGCCGAGAAGGTAATAGCAGGCAAAGTGATAGCCCTTAGGTATGTTCCAAACCAACAGGGAGATGTTCGCTATGATGTAAATGGTTTGGACGATGGAGAAGATGGACCAGAGCGGGTACACCATGCAGAGCGAAGTTGCAAGTAGAGCGGCGAACACAGAGACACCCTGAGCACCGGTAGGGATGGTGTTGATCTGCGGCACAGTATATGCGCCTGGATGCTTTGCCGTGAGATCTTTAAGCCAGATGGCCATCTGTCCATGGGGGTAGGACGAAGACAAGAAACTGGTTCTGGGTGTTAGTGGGGATGGAGCCTGCTCCAGATGATATGGAGACATACAAGGTGTAGCAGAGGATGCCCATGTAGAATTCCCAGCGCGTGAATGTGCGCTTTGCCACGGTCCAGCTTAGCTCTCTGCTAGGCGACACACCTGCGTTGACCATGCGAGACCGTGCTAATTCGTGCTCTTTAGGCGTGAGCCACCATGGCTTCTTGCTACTTGGAAGACCGGGGAAAATTAAGTACCCGGCTATAGCGATGGGTAGGGAAATCACCCCGTCGATGATGAAGAGCCAGCGCCATCCTGCCATGCCACGAACCCTACGATACGTCAGAATGTTAGACCTTTTTGGAAGTTCATAATCACGGTTACCTACCCGTTCAAATTCTTGTAGGCCGCGGCTTGCAGGTAACCACCAAACATAACGGCAATGTTATTAGAGACAAACCAGACTCCAGTGCGCTTAAACACCTCTTCAGGCCTGTACCAAGAACCCAAAACGTACGTCGTACCGGATGCCACGGGAGTTTCGAGTAGACCAAGTAAGAAGCGAGTGCCATATATATCGTTTCTGCTCCGCATCTGACTCTGGCAAAAAGTCACAATTGACCAGAGTACTTCCATGGTGGGCAAATAGTACTTTGCGACTCTCGGTCTGGAAAGGAGTAGCAAAGAAGGGACCTGGAAGACAAGGTACCCCACGTTGTAGAAAGTGTCGAAGAGCGAGTACTCGTTTCCATACAGCTCGAGCTCTTCTTTCATACCGGAAACGTAGGCGTTTTTGATGTTTGACGAGTCGAGCCATTTCAGGAAGACTGCGGGTGTCGGCTCTTAGTTTGGGTTGGGAAATATTCTCAGAGAGTTACATACACATGAAGGAGCAGAACGTCAAGAGGCATGCGTCCATCTTCCTCAGAAGTTTCCTCTCTTCTGGCGGATAATGCTTAGGATACCATTCCCAAAGGTACATCCACGCCTTCCATGGCGACCTCTTGGGTGCCTCGGCTGGCGCGATGACACTAGTGTCGAATTCGTCTGTCCTGTCGGCGACGACAGTAGTCTCGCTCCTAGGCTGCGTATCCGCCATTATCGTCGTTGTGTCGCCGTTGTTGTTGTTATGGGTGAGGTCAATATACCTCGGCGTGACTTCGGGGATATGGGTTGCGAAAAAGACGGGGCCCTTGTGAGATGAGATGCAAACATTGGCTCGTACCCCAGAATTTCGTCTAATAAATAGCTCCCGCTGTTGTGGACAAAGACTCGGGAATTGAGTGGGGGATCTGGGGGATCTGGGAAAACGGGCACCGGGTAATTCCTGTTTTTGGATGGCTGCTGCGGGGATGGGTCCTTCGTATACGGCTATCTCACATCTGCTGCCGAAGACGGGAACACCCTTGCGTCAGGCGGCCACCAGCTGTGGAGAGGCTGACATTACGACGGATAAAGTGTGGAGTAGCGAATTGAAGCTCAGACTGTTATGTGAGGAGGCTGCTTGGCGAGCGTGGTATCAAGGTAGCGTACGTTTTTACGGAAGGGCTAGGTCCCTCGGCCCGTTGTTCGCCTAAATTCACTGGAGGAAAATTTTGATACGAGATGCTATGTGAAGAAACTGTGCATCGTACATGATGCATACTGCATCCTTCTTTGTCTGCTGTACGATTGATAAAGAAGCTGGCATGCGTGCATGACGCCATACAGGCACTAGCGACATCGAGGATTCACGTAGGATAAGATTCCTCTTGGAAGTTCGGCGTCATCTCAATCCCTTTCTTCACATCACGTCACTAGGTTAAAATCATGATAGGAATTTATTGAGACATAGGTATTTCTTACTGAACCGCGTTGTTCTACCTCATGTAGGATCGACCAGAAGTATACCAACGTGGTTCAACATACCATCTCCTATTTCAAGGCAGCTATCATCTTAAACAGACTATTCTCAAGAGTGACAGGCGACCTGATAGCCGTCCAGTCGTAGTTAAGTATGCCCCAAGCTTCATCTGCACCAACAAGTGTGTTAGGCTGCCTATTCGGTCGCGTTTGGAGGTAGAAGCTACCGCAAAGCTCCCAATGTTGCCAGCCAACCTTGTACTCTTTGACCATCTCCACCAGACACTTGGCATATGTTGTTTGGTTCCAGTAAACGCCGTTGTTGATAAAGCCCCACTCGGAAATGACCATTGGAAAGACATACTTGGTCTCTGGGTCACTGGCATTGACAGCCTGGAATCCACTCTGGTACCATTTTCTCTTGAACGTCTGGCAGTCATCTTTCGTTCCCTCAAAGTCGTACTTGTGAATCTCCAGCACAATCTTGTTCTTCCACGCGAAGTCGCTTGGGACAAACGTGGCCTTCTTATTGGCAGTAGAGGTACCAGCAGTTCCGCTAAGCGTCTTGCCAAGTGGTATAGGATCGATGTAAGTATCGTATGAGAGTCCAGAAAAGAATAACAGGGCATCCGGGTCAGCTTGGTGGACGGCATTGGCAGCACTTGTCATGTGGATGTACCACGTGTACCAGTCTACAGGCTCAGCGCCCGTAGCAGACCGCAACTCATTGCGTAAACCTATCGAGGAAAATGTGGGCCAGTTTTCCTTTGCCTGGATTTGTTAGCTTTGAGCAAGGGTGTTGGCCGCGGAAGGTACTTGCGTGTTTTGCCATAAACGCCAAACCTCGCTTCCATTTTTCAACGTCAAAGTATCTTTCTCCAAACCACCCATTTCCATCGTTCTCGCCGCAGCACCAGAAAGCCTTGCTCACGTGATTGTCAAGGTGGAGAACGATACCTTGGCGCGCCAGCTCTTTAGCGACAGCATCCCATACCTGCAGTCTAGTAGTGTTTTTGGTGAATTGCGGATTGTTTTTCAAAATGGAGTTCAAAACGGTCGTCCCGTTGGCACCAGGAATAGATCTTAGGACGCTCCTCTCCAGAGTCTGGTTCGGGCTGTTTGCCAAGTAGTCATCGATCATCTCAATGGCAAATGGCATTCGCACAGAATTAAGACCGAGCTTTGGGAACCAAGATACAATTTTTTCGATGGAGGAGTGTTGAAGGCCTTCCGGTATCATGATCTCCTGATGGCCAGGCCAGTTCGTCGACATGAAGTGGAAGACATTTCCATTGGCGTCGAGGATGTCTCGGCCCTTGGTGGATAATGGAAGTGCAGGGGCTGCCCTTTTCGACTCGTGTTGCGGCACAGCAGTGGCCAAGGATCCCAACAAGAGCCCCCAGATAATGTAGAAAAACATCATGAAGATGAAGATGCGAAGGATTTGACGAGGCCCCCAGCGGCCTTTTTACCTTTTCACATACTGTCTATAGGCTAACAGTAATTTGGGAATAATTTAATTTATAGCGGCCATACTAATTATTCCGTGTATCAAGTTAAGCCTAGGGGCCCCAGGCGTTTTTCGTAGCGTGATCTGCCGAACTTATATCAATAGCCGTGCTCAGTCTAGTATGGATTATCTCGAGTTCCAGCATCTACCGAAAACAGGAGCAAACGAACGATGCAAACCTCGACTTGGGTGACGTTCCTGTAGCGGATGGATTACCTTGGTCGTAAACGGGCAGGATGCGGGCATCGGAACAATGCAGATCCCATGACTAGTCGTCAGCCCAACTTTGTTGGAACGAGATAACCCGACGTCGTCGAAATAAGCCACGAAAATATGCGCGCGTCTACAAATATGAGTTTGGTGCCTGAGAGGGGGCTACTTCTACTGGAATCTCCCCCGTCGCGTTTCTTTCAACTCGAGTGAACACCCTAGGAACTATTGTTTAACCTATCTTGAAACATTACCGCATTGAAGGGCCGTTTTACACACAATCACGACATCATCAACGCACCCATTGCAGATATAGTCAACTTACGCGTGTTGACCAACAAGTGAAAAGAAAAATGGGTGACGCTGTACAAGAAATCAACGGAAATGTCCCAGCCGCAGTGTAAGAAGCACTCCGTTCACACTGATAGTAACCTCTTCTAACCCCTCATAACCAGTATCAAAAACATCGATCTCAGCGCCATCTTCTCCGAAAACGTCCTCGCCAAAATCATCCAAGTAGCCCAACGAGGCCTAAAGAAACCAGTTGCGTAACCCTCTTCCCCCACCACCAATTTAATCCTCAACCTAACAAACCTACTCTCAGGCCCCCTTACCTTCCTACCCCCACACAGTCCCCCAAACAGGCCCCAATGCCGGCCGCTACGAAGAACGCGAGGCCCTCTTCTGGACCTGCGGTTTCTTCCCGGGCAGCATCTACACCCTGCTAGAACGCTGCATGAAATACCCACAGTCCCTCTCCGTACCCCCTCAACTCCGGCCTACAATGCAAGAATACCTCTTGAAACTCGGGCGCCACCACAGCGTCGCCATAGCCCAAATGTCGCGCCGAACAGACACTCACGACATGGGCTTCATCGTGCAACCCGCCCTGCAGCGCGACTGGGAACTAACCGGCAACAAAGCGAGTCTAGACGCCGTCATCAATGCAGCCGAGGCCCTCGCATCGCGGTACGACGAGCGTGTGCATGCGATTCGGAGTTGGGACGGTGCCGTCAACGATCGCTACAGCATCACCGACATGCAGGAAAACTTTCTCGTCATTATAGATAGCATGTGTAGTGCGTCCCCCATTTCCCCCCCCCCTCCTTTCCCTCCCTGTTTCCAGCGAAACTAACGGAGAAGAAAAAAAGATCTCGACCTCCTTTACTTTGCCGCTCACACAACTTCCTCCCCCCATCTCTCCCACATAGCAACAACCCACGCCAACCGCATAACCCACGAAATCCTCCGCGAAGACTATTCATCCTATCACCTCGTCAACTTCAGCCCAAGCACGGGGCTCGTGCAGGCTAAAATGACGAATCAGGGCCATGCGGATGCGTCGACGTGGAGTCGTGGGCAAGCATGGTCTGTAATGGGCTTCGCACAGACGTATGCGTGGACCAAAGACGTAGAGTTTCTTACTACGGCGATTGGATGTGCAAGGTATTTCTTGAAGAGATGCGAGGAGGGCAAGGGCGAGTGGGTGTGCGAGTTGGTCCCCAGGTGGGATTTCGATGCTCCGATTGTGAAAGGGGTGGAGGAGGAAGAAGAGGAGGAAGGGGAAAGTGGCCCGCTGAGAGATGTATCCGCGGGTGTGATTGCCGCGAATGGGTTACTGATTATACATCAGGCATTGCAAGGGTTGGATGCGAAGACTGCGGCGGAAATGGCGGGTGGAGTCGATTTTCTGGAGACGGCGCTGCAGATTGTCGCGCAGACGATTGAGTATGCGTATGATGGGGATTTGGCACTGTTTGAAGTGCGCGGCGAGGGAAAGGTGAATGGGGGTGCGAGTGGTGGGGAGGATGTGGTGGTCAAGGAATCGTCGTTTGATGGCATACTGCGACACAGTACGACGAATTGGAATGAGCACGCGCACCAAAAGTACAAGGATCATGGGCTGGTGTACGCGGATTACTATTTGCTGGAGTTTGGAAATAAGCTGTTGAGGGCAGGGCTAATTTAGCGGCTTTCTCTTATCTTTTTCATACTATAAAAAGAATTATACATAGCAATATTCCATAGTACTGCTTTGATACTACATAATTCCAAAAAAACGTTTCGCTCCCAACGATGCGTTCGGCAGCACTAAACATAAACAAGAACCCTATAAAGTACAACCACTTGGATTGCTGTTTACATAAAAGACATGTACAAAAGGCTTTTGCAGCAAATGTACGTTACATGCAAGGAAAACGCTAAACCAATCATCCAATTCCATCCCATCCCATTCCAATCCAACCGAATTCAACTGAACTCAATTCAATTCAATCCATGCCATGTACGCCTCCACTCCTTTGTTTCGCCTGCTATAATAGCAACAACAACAAGAACCAGAATCTCGCTGTAATGCACAAAGAGGGAAGCCACACTTTCGCTAATGTGTGAGTATGTTTGTGACGCCTGCAAACTCCGCCAATGGATAAAAGCACGCAAGAAGAATCCCGAGGTCTCGTTTGTCTATACCAAGTCGCTTGCAATGCTAGAAAGGACAGATGAAACGAGACAAGGATATGCCCCTCAATGCGCCAGAAACCAGAGTCTATAGTTGGAAAACGGGAGACGAAGAGCTAATAATTCGAGGTGAGAGACGGGCAGGTTTAGTGGTCGCCCTCGTCAATCTCTTCCTCTTTGCCACCAGCTGTAATGGCGATGCGCTTTTTGGGCTCGCCCCATAATTGCTGGAGGACTTTCTTCTTTTGGCCGTCTCGGAGGTTTTTCAGAAATCCATAGGTTCCTGTGAGGTCGTTGAGCTGTTGCTCCAAGCCGAAGCTGTTGCTCTGTGCCCGGCGGATGAGGGGGCTGATGAGGTTTTTGCGCGCCTTGTCCAATTGGTCTTTGACGGAGTGGATGATTTGGATGTGGCCCTTGAGCTCAGATTTGTTAATCAAAGTGGATGCGCGGACATCCTTGAGGAGCTTCAGGTTCCTCTCGTACTTCTTAATCTTCATCTTGTTGTTGATGGTCATGCGCCACATGGACGCGAGGAACTCGTCTTTTCTGTTTGCGAGTGAGTCCTCTTCCTTCGCAACAGAGCGATGGAGGTTGTGGAATTGCCGGTCCACGCTTTCGAAGAGCTGGAACAGCACGTCTGCGCGCGCGAGCTCGTTTGCAATGTTCTCTTCTAGCGTGGAGAGGAGATAGTCAAATGTGCGTTGCAAGGTGGCTTTGGAGCGCTGCTGGGTAGTGTGGCCGAGAACATCATTTACCACACGCCCTATTGCAGTGGGGGATCCATTGCGCTCAAGCAGGCCGATCTTGCTCAGACCGCCATGCACGTTTCCGATGATTGTATCAATCACACCAATCTTGGGGCCTTGTATGCTCTGCAACTCGCGCTTGGCCCACTCCATGGTGATAAGGATGCTACAATCATTAGTGGGTGTGTGAGCGTCGAGCGATGTATACCTACGAGTCCATATCACCGTCCACGTTTGTGAAGAAGCTCGTAATCTTCTCAGACAAGATCTTGAGGCTGTCGCCCAAGTCGTCGAGCTGGTCAATGATGACCGAGGACGCCGACATATTTGTCGCTCGAACGCTCTCTCCTAAATCTTGGACAGCGATACTTGCCTCTGCGAGCTCGCGCGACCGCGGTATTACATTTTCGGACGCGTAGAGAAGCGGCTCAAACTGCTTGGCCATGTTGGCGACGTTTGCGACGTCTGGAATTAGACTGGCTGTCCAGGGCTGCAGAAGGATCCATGACAGCAGGACAGTTGCAACGGTAAGAATGACGTTTGCTCTTGACTTGGTGAAGATGTGAAGGCCACTGGCAAAAGTAGAAATGGTTTCTTCAATGGGTGCGGTACGAAACTTGGCTTCTCCTCTGTAAGCAAAGCGCATGACTAAGGCTGTCAGTTTCTACAGCGCGCATTGGTAGGGACGACTTACAACCCTCTGATAGACCGTCCTGGTCATGATGCGACAGCTCCAGCTCCTTTCCTGGGAGCGCGCATGGGCTTGGAGTGGGCGGGGTGGGGTGGTCGTCGACGACGACGACGGGACTCTGGAGGCGCGAGGCGATGCTGGTGGACAGGAACCTCTGTTCTTCTTCTGGTATGGGCTCTGGACTTGTGCGCGGCGTCTGCTTGTATGGCGACTCGGGCAATGGTATGCGCGAGGGAGTGACTTCGCGATCAGTGCGGTAGTCGAATGGCGACCTGGAGGGGCTGTTGCGCATTGCGCTCTCGCCCAGCAGCGACTTGCGGTACCAGTGGTTGCTAGACTGTGATTTCTGCCAGGCTGGAGGGGCCCAAGGGCCGTCCGACTCGGTCTCGGAGTCTGGGTCGTCCTGGGGTACGCTCCATCGCGACGAGTGCATGTTGGAGCGGCTGCTGTAGGCCGAGTGCATGCTGCGCTCGGGGTCAAAAGCCTCGAGCGAGGCGCTGAGAGAGGGGATGTCGTGTTCATACAGACTCCCGCGATCCATTGTGTCAATCATGCTGGGGTGCGCCGTGGTGGGCTGCAGTTGCTGTATCGATAACGGAGGGTGTGGAGGGGAGGAGGCTGGTGCGCAATCGGGATTACTGTAAGTACGCTGGGTCCACTAGGTCGAGGGTCTGCGGGTCTGCAGGCACACGGGGAGCACCCTTGTGACGCGACAATCGGGGCGAGCACCTTGCAGCAATGTCGAGGGTGCCTAGCGCTTGGGGCAAGTGAGCTTGAGAGAGAAGAGAGAAGGGCGAGCGGGAATGCGCTCATGGTGCGAGTACAGTGCAGGCTGGAGCGGGCCCGTCACCGCTCTCTCTGGCCTGCGATAAGCTAATTAGGCCGGGTGTGCAAGATCAACGGCGGCCAGCGTGCTGCCTGCCAGTCTGCCCACTGCCTGCCTACCGCTGCAGCGGGGTGAAACAAGAGTGGCTGGGCTGGATGGTCACATGGTTGGCTGTCGTCTCTCCGGCCTAGTGCGGGGAAGACTGACGGCTGCTGGCGGATTGCCGCTCGCCATGCTGCGCCCGCCTTGCACGCCTACGATGCATGCGGCGACCGTGACAGGAGCTTAAAGATACTTGCCATATTACATCCAGTCTTACCCTCTCCCACCACGACCGTCGTGGTACGCCATGCGGGGTTGCGCCCCTCCGATTGGCTCCAGCCACAGGCGACACGCCCAGCGCGCGCGGGGGGAGGGGGGAGGGATACTAACTATGCCAATGCTACTGTACTTGCTGCGAGCACGGCGGGCGGGCGGGGCACGGGCACTGGCGCTGGCACTGGGAATCTCCCAGACTCGCTGCGCTCAACGCCTGCCTGTGTAGTGTATACATACATGTCTGTGTATGCAAAGTCCCACCCCGCTTCTCCGCCACCGTGTAGAAACAGCGCAAGACACGCACAGCCAAAACAAAACAAAAAATAACGACGCCATCGGCATCGTCCATGGCAGTGCGATAGAGCGACTGGTGGTGGCGTGCCATAGCCAACGCTAGCGCCGTCGGAGCTGCCCCAGCAAAAAGCAATAATCATGTGCCCTCCTCATACGTCGAGCATTGCTCAATGCGCTTTCCAAAGCCCACTTTAGAATGCGCGATAAAGAGAAGACTGGATATTTTTATCGCGGTAAAGGCGGCGAAAAGGCCCTCGCTGCCGACATGGGCTCCGGGGTGAGTGAGTGTAGCATGTCTGGATGCTCGAGAAGGAAGGACAGAAGGAAACAATATCGATGACTGCGTGAAAGAAAAATTGATGACGAAAGACGTTGAGAGATGATGCGATAGACTAGGAGAATGTTGACCTGGAAAGAGAGAAATAGCAAAAACCGAGAAGCTCAATTGTGACCTATCGTCCTTCACACCTCTCATCGAAGGTGCTGCTGCTGCAGTTGCAACAGTTGCGGTCCCAAATATAACAAAGCTGTAGTTAGTCCGATGCGTTAGCTAAATCCTGGCAACAAAACCATGTGCTATGCGACCGTTTGCAGGCTGATGTTGAAGCTGGTAGAGTGATCACAGTCTGCAAGCTGCTCTTTTTACTTGACGTATGGCGCACGGGCCGCCCGGCGCGACATTGGCCGGAACTGGAATATTCAGCATCGTCACTTTGTAACTTCGCCGCCCACCACACAACACCCCACGATGCCGCCAAGATTAAATATTGCTGCCTTCACGCGACCAATTGCCTTTCGCCCGAGGCCCCAGGTGCAATGCCCTGCCCGATCAGCACTTCGACTGCCATCGTCGCAATGGCGCCTGTATTCTGATTCAGCCAAACCACCAGCCGCGGACCGCTCCAAGCGAGAAGATGCAAAACCCATTGAGCATGTCTCCGAAGAGGCGGCTGCCCTGGCCAAGACCATGGGCGAGGAGGGACCTGATCTCAGCCAGGGCACTCCAGTTGAAGATGTATGTCCGGTTCACTGTGCATGGCTGTGGGTATGCTGACAACCGCCTAGGTAGTCAAAGGTGACAAGGCTGCGCAAGAAAACCTACCCAAGGTTATGCAAGACAAGCTCAATTCTCAAAATTCCAAGACAACACCAAATGGAGCGCCAAAGGGCTCACGATCATACTCGACCATGACGACTCAGACCAACGGCAACAGTGGATTGGATATGGGCCTAATCAATGCCCAGAACGCCTCAAAAGCACCCGCCATACCAGGTCTCAAGTTCGACATGCCCACTCTGCCACTACCAAAAGACGGCCATGTCAAACATCGCCATGATCCAGTTGTTGACCAGGTTACCAATCTGCTCATGCGACACGGCAAGAAGAGCGTTGCAGAGCGGGTACGTCATCTCGGTACTACAATCTAGCGTACATACATCTAACAACAAGAACAACAGAACATGGCATTGATCCTCCAACACCTCCGAACATCGCCCATCCCCACAATCAACCCCTCCAGGCCACTGCTTCCCGGTGCGCCCCCGCCATCACACCTTCCTCTCAACCCCGTCCTCTACCTTACACTGGCCATTGACTCGGTCGCGCCCCTGATGCGCATTCGAAGTCAGAGAGGTGC